GTATATTATATTCCAGTGAATACTTCGAGAGAACATTGAAGTCGATATTTTTACTTGAACAAAGTATACTGTTGCCCCTATTCTTCAACGTTTTGTCCATACTTCAACTCCCACCAAAAAATTTTGAATCTGTCGCGCGCAGAGCTCATTTTTCGATTTACCTCAAGGAACGCACCCACGATGGATGCGCGGAGGCCATGGGCAACATGGGCGTTGGTATGTGACGTCACAGCAACGATGTGGCATGTGTCGTTTGACGACCATTTCTATATTGAATTGACTTTTTATTGAGTGATTTCCATTTTCATCGGGCACACGACACAATTCATCGGGCACATGGCCAATTACTTGGGCACACGGCTAATTATATCGGGCACACCGCCAAATATATCGGGCACACGACCTCGGCGGGCCAAATTAAACGGGCGCATGGCTAATTATATCGGGCACACCACCAAATATATCGGGTGCACGGCCAAATACATCGGGCATTCGTCCAACTTAACTGCAAAAAGGTGTAGTATTGTTGAATGCTATTAACAGTAGCAACACCACGCTCCAACACCGTACTACTAACCAAGACATCCTGGATTCACGCCTCTATATTCTGCGATCGATTTCATACTTTGGACTCCACATTGATTGGAAAAATATACTATTTATATTCAAGCATCCAGTGAATTTTTATAATCAAACTTGATGAGGATTAAAGTAAAAACATCATACTTCGAAGTAACACGGATTATTAATATTAGTAAGAATAACTCAAGCACTTACATTGTTGTGAATCACAAATGAGTAGTTTCTTACTCTGGAGTATACTATTAATAGTATGGTTAAACTATTTGATATTTTTTGAAAGGCCATGGATTCGCACCGTTTCTGGTCAATATATACTCTGGAGTATTTTAACCGATATTACATTTTCAATAGCCAATCCAAAACGTGTATTTGACAGAATACGAATTTCATTGGATATAAATCAATCGAAGTGTTCGAAATGCGATGAAAAATTGACGGATCGCCATTGGCCACGTTCAACCAAGTTGGGATCATATGAGCGGGAAGATGGCGGCGACAGCGATGGGGCAGTCGACGGACGATGGCACGTTTGTGGAAGTGATGTACTCGGAGATCTACCGAAGCATCGGCCTGGGTCTCCGCGTTGAGCGAGCCATGGAGAGCGGCATCGGCGCGTTGGTGGTGTCGAGCTCATTGCAAGCGCCGCCTGGGGCGCGTGCGCTCCCTCCGTACCAGTATCGGGTGTGGACCATCGGCAACATGAATGTATCGGGGGCAATGTTCAAGGACATTGAAGGTCGCATCAACCTCCTCGGCGCGTCCTTCCCCATGGTACGAGCTAGCTCGTGTCATTCGTTGGCCCTATTCATGTGTACACACACGTAGTCGGTCACGTTCAAGCGCGTGGATCCGCTGTTCACCCTCGAGTACCCGTCGCACTCCCCGAAACTGAACCTGAAGATCATCCAGCACGCCGCCACGTCATCCACGACCGATCCCACTGCCCCTAGTCCAAGCAGCAGTATCTGCAAGATCGTCGAGTACATCCGACCGTTCCTATTCCTTGGCGATGTTCCATCGTTGAACACGGGGCACCATGTTCTCAACTCGATCAACGATCAGTCTCTGGAAGGTTTGCAGTACCACGAAGTACGTTGTCCCCAAACTACGTCCATCCTTCACGAGACATTCCGTTGCGATAGGTCGTCGAGTGCATACGCTATGCCACGTTTCCCCTGGTACATCGTACCCTATGACACCAAACAAAACATGGTTTTGACGTTGAACTATTTTTTTGTTTTCGTTAGAAAATCACAGTCAAGTTGCAGCCCAACCAGGAAGTCCTGAATAAAGCGCGCGCCGACGCCGACATGCATGACAAGATCCAAATCGATGCATGCCGCGCCAAGTTCCTCACGTGCAACTGCGCGCACTGCTCCACCATTCGTGTGCTGTTAGGAAATGCCTCCGTCTACACGGACCAAGTGTACCCGTAGTAGGCTTGTAGTTCGCGCAGATATAAGACTTATGAAAGGACACTACACCCGAATGAACACTCCTACTGCAACAACATGAATAGTATTCCCACATCTTTTCGGAAATATACCATTGAACGATGGATGGAGAACTTTTGGAGTGTTTGAAATGCTTCAAAGTATGGATTAGGGTGAGTCTGGAATATCAAAGAAAAGGCCAAAATCTTCGATATCTTGACAATTTCTAAGAAATCGGCAAAAAGTTTTTTTTTTATCTGTCTGGTTCGAAAATTTCGAGAATTAAATATTTGCCAATTCTCTCTTTTTTCGCCCGGCCCCGTTGGCAGCCAATCACAATCATCGAACGAAGATGATTGGATAAAATAAGGTACTCAGGTAAATAATACCCTTAGCATTTAATATTTGATTTCTTTGATACCTCATGTAATCTCATAATTACAATGACATCACACACACGGGCGACGAGTTACGAGACTTACAACCTGGGCTGAAATTGCATGAAACACCTTACTTCGAAGTACGATAGTGCAACTTTTGTCCGCTTTTACCGGCCACCACAGTATATATCAAGACGGAGCTCAAGTGTTATCATGGAAAACTCAGCCGATTAAATCGAATGAGTTCAGTAATATCCTCAAAACCCGCTTTCCTGTGGCGTGAGGATATTTTGGCTTGACTTGATTAAAGTTACGGTACTCTGTATCCGGCTGAGTGAGAATTGTCCTCACTATTGTCACAAAGACCTTATTCCGGTGCGACAAGCTGTACACAAATCCCACTACACAGATCAAGAAAACAGTTCATTCTAATGAAGTCCATAATAATAAAGCTGCTACCTTGCCACCTCTGCCATTAGCATTTTGCGATTCGTCTCATTCTTGAATTGACTCCGCGATGAAAACCGCTGGCCTCTTGTCTATCTTGGCTGTGGCCGCGGCCAACCAAGATAAAATAAAGATCGCCGTGATTCAATATCTACAACAATCGCCCACGGTTACTGTGTTTGTCGTCGTTGACGCGTTGCACAACGCCAACATCTTGAACGACTTTGCCAAATGCTTCCCCTCGGACCTTGAAACAATTTTAGACTGCAAAGACTTGACCAATGAAGAAGTCAACAGCATGGCGGCCTTCCCCGCCGTCAAAGCGATCTTTCATGTCCCAGACAGCTCCGCTCCTGACCCTCCCAACATCTCCCCCAAGCCTACCACCACCCCCAAGCCTGCTGTCACCACCCCGAAGCCTGTCGTCTCGGATGACGATGCCGTGGACTACCAACATAAAATAGGGCCCGGCGTGCTTCAATCGCTGCAACAATCGACCACCGTCACTGT